TTATTTACCCCATAAAACTGGAATTGCTCTTTAAGCACTCCTGAATTTGTCCAGGTGTACAGCTGCTACATAACCAGTCTACAGTATTAAGTCACAACCAGCAGGTGATGGGGGCTGCAGGCTAATTATTACATATACTGGAAGAAATATGGAGGCTGCCATTGCTAACCTCCATGAAAATGTTAATTGTTTCGCTAGTACTAGCAGAAATATTGTTAATCCAGATACTGGATCAACTCCAAAATACAGAACTTACTGCCACGTGTACAAAGCTACTTCATGTATATCTGTAGGTGCCAAAGAGCCTTGGTAAATACACTCGTTAACCCTTAGAAACACTTGCTATGTCCTTGCTCCGAAATGTCATTCTACTTTTTTTATCATTGTTTTGTCAGTGTACACAATAGATTGTTCTTATGTCCTGACATTTGCCTAGTCTAATTGTGTAATTGTGTACGAAACAAAACAACCCAGACTTAGAATTTTCTAACAATTCACTAAATATATGATAGGTAAAGTGCCAGATGTTTAGTACAACCAGTCTCTATGCTTTGTACAAAAGGTTACTGATACCAATGTTATTATAAGGATTACGTACCTGAGGTTAATTTTCCTTCTATAGTTCTTCGTCCTTACATGTTCTGGTGCAGATACATCTCAGGTTTTGTACTTTGTAGGTATTATCTGCCTTAAAGTGATTTATAATGCTTGTAGATGTTTCAGTGATAGAGATTGCTTGTATGTACTCAGTAAATATACAGCTACAGTCAAAACCAGATATGACTGTTCTGAAAAAAAAAAAAAGCAGAAAAGAAACTTGCATTAAAGTTAATCCGAATTATTTGTATATCCCAACTCTCAAGCACTGTACAAACCATATTATATGAATACCTTCACATTAATACAAATAACTAACATATGTATCGTACCATTTTCAGTATTCCTAATATAATCACAACACCTCAGGAGTATTTTGCAATATCAGTGGGTATTTTATTCACTCAAAGAGCACTGTATATATCCAGCATCACTTGAACTCCTTGATGAGTTTCACACCTTTAGGGCTCCTGCATTGATCTGCTCAATTAATGCAGGCTCAATGCTAGGGCACATAGAAAACAATTATTTTCTATGTGCCCTGTTCACACAACATTGCTGCAGTGAGGTGTGGTGCCACTGCATGAAAATGCAGACACACTTCATTTTTATGCAAAGAAATCTAAGAGAAAATAACTTTGCTTACAAGGCAACAGCATAGAACATCCAACGTGTTTCAGGAGGCTCAATGATCTCCCCCTTCTTCAGGGTTAAACACAGACATAAAAACATATAAGATCCTAGATTTTTATTTGTTTATTTTTTTGTTTCATAAACATTTTATTAGGAAGAAAGTGCAGTTTACAATATTATGATAGAACAAACAACAGCCGAGAGAATATGAATAACCAAGAGTAAGAGATGCATGAAACATACAAACAGGCTCTTGATATAACAAGCCTACATCCAAGTCAGACCAGATACTTTGAAGAACACATCAATTATTGAGTATTATAAGTATACTGATAAGGGTAAATCCCCATTATGTATGTCATGTCGCCTGTTGAGTGTTCCCTTTTGAACTTGCTACAGTACTTCAAACAAAAACTAGAAAGAAGAGGAAGGAAGAGCAGAAAAGACAAGAGAGCTCAGATGAGGAGGAAATGGGAAAAGAAAGAGAGAGAGAGAAGAAGAGGGCCAGGAAAAAAAAAAAACACACTCACAACAACAACCTCCACATACACTACTTGCCTACCGGATTCTCCTTCACCCCAAAATTGCAAAATCTGAAAGAGTGGGCGAAGGGGTTCTTCCAGGTCACACATATCGAAGGGGCACCCAAAATGGTTTACAGATGGGATCTATGTTCAGCTCTATATTCAGCTGATGTCTTAAAATCCAACCAGCAAGCCCAAGGGATAGTAAACATTGACATCCTATCTTGAGTAATATGAATCAGTTCCTCCATCTCCCCCATGTTGTTGATTCTGCAGAACCATTCCTGTATTGTAGGAGTATTGGTGTTTCGCCAGTGACAAGGTACATTGTTTAACTGCATTAACCATGCTCATAGCCAAGGATTTATTGTATTGTCTCTTAGTGAGTGAAGTATGATGAAGTAAGTATTGCGCCGGGGAAAACTCCAACGTAAAAGATTTCACCCTGATAATAATATCATGGAACTGAGTCCAGAAAGGCTGTGAGTGGGAACATATCCACCTTATGTGGAGCATTGACCCAACAGTCTCTCCACATCGCCAACAAAGACAGGAAACAGAAGGGTAAAATTTATGTAACAAGGAGGGCATACGATACCAGCAGGATAGGACTTTATACCCATTTTCCTGAACTACAACATTCAATGAGCCTTTGTGACTATATATACAGCCATGGCACCTCCTGCCTGGAGTTTGTATATTCTCCCTGTGCCTGCGTGGGTTTCTTCTGGGTACTCCAGTTTCCTCCCACACTCCAAACACATGCTGATAGGTTCCTGTCTAAATTGGCCCTAGTATGTGTATGTATGAATGTAAGTTAGGGACCTAAGATTGTACCTTGAGGGTTAAGGACTGATGTGAATGTACAATATATATGTAAAGCGCTGCTTAAACTGAGGGCACTATATATGTACCTGAAATAATAAATAAATATATGCATATGGTCTCCCAATCTTCATCAGAAAGGGATTTTATTTATACTGGGTTATATTACCTTATAGGTATAAACAATTCATAACATCTCAACTCATATAAATATGTAAAAAGTATGACAAAATTAATATCAAACACCAATATAACATTTCACAATTTGATAAAATACAAGAGAATATGCAATTGTAACCAATACTGTTAAAAGTATTTATTTAAAAAAAAAAAAACACATCTCATGTAAAATTACATAAAATAATGATTCTTCTTCAATACCAATATTAATAAATAATAAACAATGATTGGGAATTAAATACATCTACACACATGAACCCTTTTTTGTACTAAACTCTACAAGGTCGAGCTGAAACAAGGCACAGTGGTCAATAAAAATCCCTATTTAATTGCTTCTCGCCCGCTCTATAGCAGAAGTATTGCTACAGGGCGGCACGGGTGCGCAAAATCACATATATATATATATATATATACATATGAAATTTTGCATTTCTGGATAGGGGCACCGCAAGGTGCATTGCATGTGCCCCCCTACCCATGCAGCCATTCACAGCCGCGGCTTTTGATCATTCAGTCAGCCTTGTTACATTTTACTTAAAGAGGCACTGTGGTCAGACATCTCCTGACATAACATACGGAACTGTTTGTAAACAAAACAGTTCTCTCCCCTGTAACCATATTGGCTGTGCGCAGCACAGCCATGTAAAGCAGTGTTTATTCAACCCCCAAGTGACATTCAGTCCCTAGTAAAACAGCACACATTAACCCTTTGATCGCCCCACAGTTAACCAGCTTTTAAACTGCCCAGCATAGCTAGACACAAGTGTCTTAGCAGCGATCACTACGGGTATCTTCGCCCATTCAAGTCATCCCCCCAGGGCAAAGGCCTCCAGTTCAGTCACATTCTTAGGCTTGCGCACTAGTGCAACAGTATATGCTTTCTTGTAAGTCCACACCAAGAGGTTCTCAATCGGTATTTTTAAGTCTGGTGACATTGCGATGGCCACTGACAAAATGATTTTTTCCAGCCTTTCCTCTGCAACAAAATGCTCTAGTGGACTTGGAGGTATGCTTGGGATCATTGTCCTGTTGAAGGTCCAACGTCTCCCTGAAATCCCTCAGGTGTTAAAACGGACTGCAACGTTTCAAGATTCCATCCATATCACCTGGTACTGTAAAGAGAATCGTCATGGTACCTTAAGCAAGCACATCCTGAAGCTTCCTCTAGTACCTGCAGAAGCAAACACCCCAAGCATGATTGACCCTCCACCGACAATGCTTCCAGTAAGGCTAAAAGGTGTTCTTTTCACATAGGCCTTGTTCTTCCTGTTTAAAAAAAAACATAGCGTTGATCCTATGGCTCCCCAACCCAAACAGTTCTTATTTTGTTTCATCAGGTCCACAGAACACTATCCCACAACTTTTGTGGTTTGTCCACATGGCTTTTGGCATATCTGCAGTCGACTCTTCTTATTCTTTGGAGACAGCAAAGGGGGTACGCCTGGGAGTTCTGGCACGGAGGCCTTCATTACGCAGTGTAATGCGTCTTATTGTCTTGGCTGCTGAAACTTCTGTACCCACATCTGACAAACTTCTTTTCTCAGTTCCTCAGCAGTCACACGGGGACTTCTCTCCACTCTACGCTTCAGGTAGCGCACAGCAGTCGAAGTCAGCATCTTCTTTCTGACGACCAGGTAGCGTTTCACAGTGCCCTTTGCCTTGAATTTGCGAATGATGCTTCCTAAGGTGTCTCTTGGTATGTTTAACATCTTTGCAATCTTCTTATTCCATTGCCCTTCCTGTGAAGAGGAAATCACCTCTTCTCTTGTCTTCCTGGACCATTCTCTTGCCTTCACCATGTTTGTAACCACACAGTAAATGTCTAGAAGGAGCTGAGTATCACAGTCATTTTAAAGCTGCCTAATTGGTGCTTATTATGCTTAGATTGCTGCTCGGTGACATCCACAGGTGTTTTCAATACCTGATGGAAATGCACCTGTATGAACCTCTGTTCTTCAGAGTGGTAGTCTTTAAGGGGTTGAATAATTGTGGCAATGAAGAAACCACATAAGAACCATTTACTACTGTATTACATAAACAATTGATGTCATTTTAGTTGCATTTGGGTAGTTACAACGTCCTTGTAGGATTTGATTCTGAATACAATTCCAAATGTTCTATTAGTCCCTAAAACCCCTTTACAGCATTGGGGGTTGAATAAATTTTGGACACAACTGTATATATGAGATTTTGCATTTCTGGATAGGGGCAACGCGCAAGGTGCATGCATGCCCTACCCATGCAGCCATTCACAGCCGCGGCTGTCAATCATCGGGTCCCAGCTGGTGATTACTTGCCAGTGCCTGGTGATTGCCGAGCATCTCTGACATAGGGAGAACTGTTTGTAAACAAAACAGTTCTCTCCCCTGTCAGCTCCAGCACAATGTTTTGCATGGCTGTGCGCAGCACAGCCATGTAAAGCAGTGTGCTTACAGTGAAAGACACAGACACAGTCCCCTAGTAAAACAGCACACAGTTAACCCTTTGATCGCCCCACATGTTAACCCCTTTCTGCCCAGTGCCATTAGTCAGTGTCAGTGCTTTTTATTAGCACTGATCACTATATTGGTGTCAGTGGGGATGTCAGTGACACCAAGTCAGTTCCCCCCAGTGTCAGAATGTCCACCGCAGTCTATAAGTCGCTGATTGCCGCCATTACTAGTAATAACCCAGTATATATACCTCCATTTGTAAACGCTATAACTTTCACGTAAACCAATTAATTTACACGTATTGGTATTTTGTTTAGCAAAGACATGTAGCAGAATACATTTTGGCCTAAATTTATGACGAAATGTGATTTTTAACATTTTTTTTTACTGGATATGTTTTATAGCAAAAGGTCAAAAATATTGTTTATTCCCAAATGCGGGAGAACCCCATGGTAATTGGGACCATGCAAAAAGGAACAGGAAGATCTTATCTCCTGGAAATCCCAAACATTTTAAAAAGATAGTCAATGAGCAAGATTCCACATATCACAGAAATACTGTATATATATTAGGTCAATCTGTCTCATCAGCATATAATAAGCAAGCAGCTATCCATGATGCATTTACCATGCTCTAGTCTGGCATAATTTCATTGAACCACAAATAAATCGACTTCAGACAATGTTTCCTTGAAATGATAACACTGTCTAAAAGAATAATAGTAAGGCTGCTTTCACACTGATTTTTTTTTCTTCTGCTTCTATGTTAAAAAAAAAAATGGAAAAAAAAACGTGTGACCATGTATTCCTATGGAACTCTTCACAATGATCCATTGCAGGTCCGATGCAGTAAAAAACTGAAAGGGGTTCCAATCCTACCCTACTCTATCAACAATTATACTTTAAGGCGGAACTTCACCCAAAAGGAGAAGTTCTGCTTGTTTATCTTCTCCACCCTCCTCTTTAACTTTGGCACTTTTTTAGGGGGGGGGGGTAGGAGTAGGTATCTGGTTTTGACAGGTACCTGCTCCCACTTTCGCTCAAATCGCCTAGGCAATCTGAGTGGAAGTTCATCCCCCACTTCTCTCCACATTATAGGTCCCAGAAGACAGCTGGAGCATTCAGAAGGAGAAGCACAGCTTGCACATGCGCAGTGGGAAACCGGCTGTGAAACCGCACGGCTTCACAGCCAGTTTCCCTTGGTTAAGATGCCATCTCCTGTACCCGAAGCCCACTGAAGACTTGGCTCAGGTGAGGACGGCACTGGTTCCTGGACAGGTAAATGTCCTTATATTAAAAGTCAGCAGCTGCAGCATTTGTAGCTACTGACTTTTATTTTTTTTTTGGGGGGGGAGACTGTAGCTCCTCTTTAAACTTCATCATCACTTTGAATTTTAAAATAATTGTTAAAAATAATAGTTCTATAATAAATTCTATAATATATTTTCTTTATTTCCAGGTAAAAATGAACTCATTCCAAGGGATCCTACTCTGAACACAGTTCCCGTGAATAAGAAAGTTCAGCGTCCGAAACCATTTAAGGAGCAGATCCCCGTAAAGGAGGTTTCCCTAGAACTGCTGGATAACAATTATTTGAAGGACAGGAATGGCACATGGCATGCTCACCTGAACATTCACCGCATGGTGCAGATTGATTGTCATTGCACTCTTAATGAAAGGACAGCTGCACACAAGAAAGACATCGATAAAAGTTTTTTGTTTAGGAGATTTCTGAGCGCTGACCAGGAGCCAAGAAAAGACTCAGAAGATGTTACAGGAGAAATAGAAACTAATGGATTGACAAAGGACATCAAGCCTGCCAATAGTCTATACAGGAAATCCTCTCTCCAACACCCAATTCCTATATCTTGGGGTCACTATCAGTTTCCTTCTTCCAAACCCTCTTCCCCCACAGAGAAACTGTTCTTCTATCCCTTTCCTCAGAAGAAAAATCCACGGATATCAGAAACAGCCAGAAAGCTAGGTTTATATTAAAGCAAATATTTGGAAGTCCACCAAAAAAATGATGTGACCTTATGTGAGCATTTCTTTTTAGCTTGCACTTTACTTTTCAAGTCTGAATTATTGTTCTTGAACCAAACAATAAAACCTTTGTTGTGACATTTAGCACTACCATATGTCAGAAGGAAATAGCTTGACTAAAGGAAGCTAAGGGTTTGTCTTCTCCAGCAGATTTGATATGCAGTTTTGTTGAGGTATGGCTAGTTTTGAGTGTTTTCAAAGCATCTCAGAATCTCTCTTAGCTTTCAAAAAAAAGAAACCTTTCTACCAGAATATCCTGCCACACTATTTGTCATACATTAGAACATCAGAGCAGGGGTAAGCAACCCTGGAATAGTGGATATCTACCTGAAAAACATGGAAGAAATCAAAGATCACCAAGGGTGCAGTATGCTTTTTTAGGAGATAACTTCATAAGGCCCCATTAAAAAGTGAAGGGTTCAGGGGTCAGCAGTAAGTAACAGAGGTCTGTAGTATGTAAATCAGAGTTCAGAAGTCAGCAGTGGGTAACACAGATTACATGAGTCAGGAGTAAGTAACGCACAGCCTAGAGGTTAACAGTATGTAATGCAAAGCGTGGAGGTCAGGAGTAAGTAATGCAGAGTGCAGAGGTTAGTAGTATGTAACACACAGTGCAGGGGTCCGGAGTCAGTGATACAGAGTGCATGGGTCAATAGATGCAAAATTTAGAGGTCAGTAGTAAGTCATACAGAGTTCAGAGGTTGATAGTAAATAACATAATACAGAGGTCAGTAGTTAGTAATGCAGAGTGGAGGGTTCAGTAGTAAGTAAAGCAGAGTTCAGACGTAAGTAACGTAAAGTTTGGGGGTTAGTAGTAAACAATAAAGGATGAAGGAGTCAGTAGTAAGTAACATAGAGTACGGTGGCAAGTAGTAATGTTGACTACAGGGGTCAGCAATAAGCTCCTCAGAGTTCAGAGGTCAGTATTAGAAAGAGCAGAGTTTAGAGATCAGAAGTAAGTAATGCAAAGTGTAAATATCGGTGGTATGCAATGCACAGTGCAGGGGTTGGGAGTAATGCACAGTTCATACATCAATAGTAAGTAATGCAGAGTGCAGGGGTCAGTAGAAAGTAATGCAAAATGAAGGAGTCAGTAGTAAGGCAGAGTTCAGAGGTCAGTAGTAGGTAACGCAGAGTGCAGGGGTCAGTAATAAGTAATGCAGAGTGAAGGAGTCTGTAGTAAGGCAGAGTTCAGAGCTCAGTAGTAGGTAACACAGAGTGCAGGGGTCAGTAGTAAGTAATGCAGAGTGAAGGAGTCTGTAGTAAGGCAGAGTTCAGAGGTTAGTAGTAGGTAATGAAGAGTGCAGGGGTCAGTAGTAAGTAAAGCAAGGTTCAGAAGTCAGGAAAGTTCAGAGGTCCTTAGTAATACAGAATGCAGGGGTCAGTAGTAAGTAACACAGAGTTCAGAGGCAAGTAGTAATGTTGACTACAGGGGTCACGAGTAAGCAACTCAGAGGTCAGTAGTATATAAAGCAGAGTTTAGAGGTCAGAAGTAAGTAACACAGAGTTTGGATGTTAGCAGTAAATAAAACAGAGTTTAGAGGTCTGCAAACTAGTAACGCAGAGTACAAAGGTCAGTAAAACAGCACAAATTTCCCCAGCCCTCTGTAAAATTTAACTCACCAGACTGCAAGGTCATATGACACATCAGAGATTAGGAGAAGTCTAGGACTTCATTTGGCTTTGCATTCACTTTGTCACTCTGAGAGATGGCAGACGGAGTTAAGAGCTGCTGGCATGGTGGGGCCAGGAGCAGGTGACACAATAGCCATGATTGATGGGTAGATCACAATTGCCTGGTTGCTGACCTCTCTGGTGAAGTGTGCATCCAGCCTAAACAATTGTTACCAAGATACAGGTTAAATCTTTAAAGCAGAGCTCCAGATAGCAATAAATTCTAATTCTTCCCCTACTAGACAAAACTAGAAAAATAAAGTCTTTTATTGGACATACACTTGAAAGAAAAAATTGATTCTGCAAAGAAGCAAACTTACACTGGAACTCCAATTAAAACGTTTAATTTAAAGTTAGGTAGAACCTCCATCAGGTTTTATTTGCTGTCTATGCTGAAATTGGGGTGTTTTCACCACACTTCCTGACCATGAAGCTGAACTAGAAATTAAAGGATAAGTTCACCTTTGGGAGCAGGTTACATGTTCCATCCATTTTTAGAATAGAACATGTAACATGTTCCCACTCCTGCACCCTCTATCCCCCCCCCCCCCCAACTTGTGACAGCGTGTTGGGGATCTTCTCCCTGCATCCGCTGTCAAAATTTGAAAAGCTGATGACTTGTAGTTCTCAATGAACTACCAGGGTGCTAGTGAGCGCTTTAGGTAGTTCATGGAGCTTCCTGTCATTGTGTAACTGCCTGCCTGTACGAGGTACGAGCAGACCAATACACTGACAGTCTGCAGGAGCCTGAGATTGCACTGAAATCTGGCGATCACTGGTGCATTGCTTTACAGGCTCCTAAAGAAATAATAAATGCACAATTTTTTTTTACCTAAAAATGCAGCGCTTAAAAAGTTACAAATAATCATAAGAAAACAGTGAAAAAAGTGTCAAAAAATAGTCCGTCCAAAAAATAAAAGAAAGGTCCCAGAGGCTGTTATGAAACAAAAGAAATCCAAGGACAGTTGTCGTGTCACCAAGCACTACTACAGATGGCTTACCGGTAAGGCATGACCCCCTGTTAAGAGTGGTCAATCACGCTTTGTTAAACAATCCAGAAAGCCGGTCACTTGAATCCTCCAGATCACCATAACAGCAGATAAGGATCTTCCAAACAATGGACCTTAATTATGGTAGCTAAACCATTCAGGATAATGCTTGGACTCATGTATGTAGTGGAAAACATGCAAAGAAAGAACGCTCCACATAGTGTAAAACCATAATCACAACATTTATTTAAAGTATGGTTGCACTCACATGTAAGCAATCATCATTAGGCATTGATTGGCAAAAAATACAAATTTTCCAGTTTCCAAAATAGCCGCCAGTCGTTCGCACATGTGCAGTAGCATGTGTGTGTGGCTCCACCCTACGTGTTTCGTCACAGGTAACGTCATCAGGGTGCAACTTTTTAAGCGCTGCGCTTTTATGTATTTATTGTTGACTGCCTAGTATCAGGGTTTTGTGTTCAGCTGCTATATGTTTTACAGCTCATTTT